TAGATTGTACGCCCCTTGAGGTCAGGGACCTTAGATTGTACACCCCTTGAGGGTTAGCGACTGATGTGAATGTACAATATATATGTAAAGCGCTGGGTACAGTGACGGAGCTATATGAGTACCTGAAATAAATAATAAATAAATGCTGTGGGGTCCCAGGGGGGACCAGTGGCATGCATGGTTGGTGGGGAAATAATTTTTTTTTTTTTTAATTTAACGACAATCCATTTCAATTTTATCCAATCAAATAGGCCCCCTTATTACATAGCTGTTGGTAACTATAAAGAAAACTGTAATATTTTAAGGCGTGTGGCCGCCGTCTTAACTGTCTTTGTTCATACAGTTTTCCATATCCTGCAATGATATGAATCATCCCTGAGCGGTCTCACGCGACGAAAGCCAAAACTGGGAGAATTGCAGCAGGTTAGCCTATGCTCTGCATTACATGGTATCACCAGATACGATACTTGTACAATCCTCCACAAACTGAACACAATGTCACTGGACAGCCGGTGACCGATCAGTGAGCAGTACACAATCGTCATGCGGTCTCATGCTAGACAGGTGGAGGGTCGCGCCCATCCTCTGACGTACCTGCGTTGAACTGCTTACTCTTGCGCGGAGAACGCGGCTGGCGCTGGTACGGATCACTTGTCCCGTATAGTTCCACCGTCCCCATGCTAAGCAAGATGCTTTTCTGAATGTAATCTACAACGCCCAGTCCGGTACAGTTTCCAAAGGCGATTCTGAAAGAAACACAAGTCACAGAGTCACAAAGAGCAGCCACAAGGTGGGTGACGTTCAAGAATATAGAAACATTAGATACATTTTAAAAGGAGATTTCGGTTTAAGGTGGAACTCTCTCTGTTACATAAATATTGGGCAGCTGTCCTCCATATCATAAATTCTGTCTGCCAATCAGGGGCGGACTGACAAGTCATGGGGCCCCCGGGCAATAGGGGATCATGGGGCCCCTGTGTCCTTGCCCAAACTCAAAAAAGCCTATGAAAAAGGTACCAGGGGCATCTCCTGGGGCCCCCTACTGACCCCGGGCCCTCGGGCAGTGCCAGAGTTTCCAAATGGTCAGTCCGCCCCTGCTTCCAATTATCTTTTCTGTTGGACCCCATATTCTGTTTATTAGGCTACATGGATGAAGAAATTATACCATCCACTTTACAGATCCCAGCGCTTCAATGTCTCTCCCAGGGAAGCAAACTTATACCCACACCCCCCCCCCCCCCCCCTTACCGCCTACCCACTCAGATTGGCTAAAGGCCATAAATCTGGGCTCAGCAACCGGTAGATCATGGCCAGATGACTAGTAGATCGTGGTCTGGGCTTGCTGACTCACCATCCCAGAACATCAAACAAAGTGACAACTTGTAAAGTTGTAGCTGTAGTAGGGAGCAACTGCAACTAGTCTGCAGGGTTTTACCACCCCAACTTTGCGTGCATGAGCCCTAAGGGTGCTGCTGCCAAATGCCACTAAGGGCTCAATGCAATTACACAGAGCTTGGAGGTCGGCTTGTAAGTTGGAGACATCCTGTAAGGACGTTATTCCCCGGCACAGCTTGGTGTCATCCGCAAACACTGAAATGGGATTAATAATCTCAGACCCGATATTGTTTATAAATGTATTAAAAAGTAAGGGTCCCCAACACTGAACCCTGGGGTCCCCCCCACTAATAACACTAAACCTTGGGGTACCCCACTAATAACACTGAACCTTGGGGTACACCACTGTCACCCCTAGACCATTCAGTGTATGAATCATTAACCACTACTCTCTGAATACGATCTTTTAGCCAGTTTTCTATCCATTTACATACAGATATTTCCAGCCCATAGACTTTACCTGACACATTAGCCGTGTGTGTGGGGAACTGTGTCAAACGCTTTTGCAAAATCCAAGTATACCACGCCCACCGCCACCCCTCTGTCCAACTATACCACGCCCACCGCCACCCCTCTGTCCAACTATACCACATCCACACCACCCGCCTCCACCCCTCTGTCCAAGTATACCACGTCCACCACCATCCCTCTGTCCAAGTATACCACGCCCACCGCCACCCCCTCTGTCCAACTATACCACACCCACGCCACCCCTCTGTCCAAGTATACCACGCCCACCACCACCCTCTGTCCAAGTATACCACACCCACCGCCACCATCCCTCTGTCCAAGTATAACCACGTCCACCGCCACCCTCTGTCCCACCACTATGTCCACCGCCTCTGTCCAAGTATACCACGTCCACCGCCAGCCCTCTGTCCAAGTATATCACCCCCACAGCCACCCCTCTGTCCAAGTATACACCCCCACTGCCACCCCTCTGTCCAAGTATATCCACCCCACAGCCACCCCTCTGTCCAAGTATACCACGTCCACTGCCACCCCTCTGTCCAAGTATACCACGTCCACTGCCACCCCTCTGTCCAAGTATACCACGTCCACCGCGCCACCCCTCTGTCCAAGTATACCACGTCCACTGCCACCCCCTGTCCAAGTATACCACATCCACCGCCACCCCTCTGTCCCACCGCCACAGCCACCCCTCTGTCCAATAGTATATCCACCGCCACCCCTCTGTCCACCCCTCTGTCCAAGTATACCACGTCCACTGCCACCTAACCCCTCTGTCCAAGTATACCACGTCCACCGCCACCCCTCCCACTCTGTCTGTCCAAGTATACCACGTCCACCGCCACCCCTCTGTCCAAGTATACCACGTCCACCGCCACCCCCCCTCTGTCCAAGTATACACCTCCACAGCCACCCCTCTGTCCAAGTATATCACCTCCACAGTATACCCATCCACCGCCCCTCTGTCCAAGGTTTTGCTCACCCCCCCTAAAAAGAAATCAGATTTGTTTGACAACTTCTGTCTTTCATGAATCCATGCTGTCTGTTGCTTAAAATATTTTTTTCCAGCAAGAACTCATCTTTGTGGTCTTTTGTTAAAACCTCCAGTATCTTCCCAACTATAGAAGTTACACTAACAGGTCTGTAATTACTTGGTAAAGATTTTGACCCCTTTTTAAATATTGGCCCCACATTGGCCTTACACTGATCCAGTGGTACTATGCCAGTCATTAAAGAGGCCCTAAAAATGAGAACCAATGGCTGTGAGATGACAGAGCTCAATTCTTTAAGGCCCCCGTGGGTGTATGCCATCCGGTCCAGGGGCTTTATTCACCTTTATACTGTCTAAATATTTCTGGATCATATCAATTGTGAGCCAATGTGGATCATCTGGAGCTGTGTCAGTACCACCCCCCATTATGGACAAGAGCCCCCCCATGCTCCCTTGTATACACAGAGCTGAAGTAGGGATTTCATACATTGTCCTTCTCTTTGTCCCCAGTCACCCCCTCTATATTTTGTAAAGGGCCTACATGCTCGGACCGGACGTTTTTATTATTAATATATTTGAAGATATACTTACCTAATCCACCAGTCCTCCGTGTGCAAGACTGGTCCCCGCCGCTCCTGTACCCCGTGCGCTAGCGGTCTTGTAAATGGGCTGTTCCTGACGTCCACATGCCATAGACCAGCTCCGGACGTGAAGACGGCAGGAACGGTCCACCGCAGAACATGGGGTAACGCTGTTTTCCGGAGGGAAAGAATGGGTAATTATAGCTTTACCCTGAGCCTCTAGAAAAAAGGCGCACTTAACCCATAGAGTGCAGGACGGCCCCACTGTACGAGAAAATACATTTTTTAACAGAGTTATAGTTAAAAGTAGAACTATAGGCACATTTTTTTTTATCATTTTGAATAGCACAAGGAAGGGTTATAACCCCTGTTTTTTTTGCCATCCCATTGAAGAGACTTCCCTTCACTTCCTGTATCCATAGCCAAAACAGGAAGTGAGAGGAAATCCCTGCAAAGGCACCCTTCTTCCCTGTGCTCCTAACAGCGTCGGTACTCACATGCCATAGGCAGAGCTCACAGCTAGACTGGTGATCTGTTGTGGAGGCTCTCCATCCACCCACAGAAGCTGGACTACAAGATCCGCCTGGTACCCCGGGGGCATCCTCACTGGTCTGCTCTTCACACTGCAGAGAAAGGAGAAGGAAACAATCATCACTCATGTTACATAACAAATTAGCGACAAAGTTTTCTGGCTGCACAACATTCACCAGTGCTTGTGCAGCTACATATTGGAGGAGACCACGACCACCTTTCAGCAGCTGCTACATATTGGAGGAGACCACGACCACCTTTCAGCAGCTGCAGCCATTTGCAGTCGATGAGAATGGATACTGAGAAAGTGGCATATTGGTAACATGTATTAGCCCTAGGTTCACATTTGTGCGGGTGGTGCGGCTGCGGTTCCGCAACGATAATCCACCTGCACAGAGAAATGTGGGACCCGCGGGCGGGTGCTATTGATTCTAATGACACGCGCCGCCCGCACTGGAAAACGCAACCGTACTGAGAACCTCGGCTGCATTTTCCAAAGAAGTGCAGGGACTTCTTCCCTGCGAGTCACGGGGCACGGGAGTCCATTCAACTGAATGGGCTCTTGTGCCCATGCAAAACGCAGCCCGCACGGCCGCAGATATGTGAACCAGGGGGTTAGAATGAGGCACCCTGACACAGGCATGGCTGATCTTTCCTGAGCTTGCAGTTGTTGCCAAAGGTCATTAGCAGATGGTTAGTTGAGTGGCTAACAGTTCTTGTAGGAAAGCTGGTAGAGACAAAAGGCTTGAACCCCAATCACACTTTGACATTCCGGTACAAAGCATTATTGCACGTGCGTAAACATGTTTTTTAATGTGTTAACGTGTGTTGTGTTAGGCCACCCATTCAAATGAATAGGCTGGCAATGCACCATTTTTATCAACTCAGAGTACCACAATGAACGGTGGTGTGCTACTATATGCTGCGCTGCAATGAATGTGCACTGGAGATGTCCTATCCCCCACCACACAACTACAAATACAAAATATCATTTTTAGGGGGTCTAACATTTTAAACTATAGCTTTCCTTCAGTCTTGCACAGGTGTACCGGCTCCTCCCCCTTCAGTCTTGCACAGGTGTACCGGCTCCTCCCACTTCAGTCTTGCACAGGTGTACTGGCTCCTCCCCCTTCAGTCTTGCACAGGTGTACGGCTCCTCCCCCTTCGGTCTTGCACAGGTGTACCGGCTCCTCCCCCTTCAGTCTTGCACAGGTGTACTGCCTCCTCCCCTTCAGTCTTGCACAGGTGTACCGGCTCCTCCCCCTTCAGTCTTGCACAGGTGTACGGCTCCTCCCCCTTCAGTCTTGCACAGGTTCACCGGCTTCTCCCCTTCAGTTTTGCACAGGTGTACCGGCTCCTCCCCTTCAGTCTTGCACAGGTGCACCGGCTCCTCCCCCTTCAGTCTTGCACAGGTGTACGGCTCCTCCCCCTTCAGTCTTGCACAGGTTCACCAGCTTCTCCCCTTCAGTTTTGCACAGGTGCACCGGCTCCTCCCCTTCAGTCTTGCACAGGTGTACTGGCTCCTCCCCTTCAGTCTTGCACAGGTTCACCGGCTTCTCCCCTTCAGTTTTGCACAGGTGTACCGGCCCCCCTCCCCTTCAGTCTTGCACAGGTGTACGGCTCCTCCCCTTCAGTCTTGTACAGGTGTACCGGCTCCCCTCCCCTTCAGTCTTTTACAGGTGTACCTGCTCCTCCCCTTCAGTCTTGCACAGGTGTACTGGCTCCTCCCCTTCAGTCTTGCAGAGGTGTACCGGCTCCTCCCCTTCAGTCTTGCACAGGTGTACGGCTCCTCCCCTTCAGTCTTGTACAGGTGTACCGGCTCCTCCCCTTCAGTCTTGCACAGGTGTACGGCTCCTCCCCTTCAGTCTTGTACAGGTGTACGGCTCCTCCCCTTCAGTCTTGTACAGGTGCACCGGCCCCTCCCCCTTCAGTCTTGTACAGGTGTACCGGCTCCTCTCCTGGACTAAAATGGCTTACTCTGATTTCACTGCACACTGTGAGCTTCTCACAATGTGCAGTAGAAGCTGCAGCCAGTCAGACAGAACTTCCTGGCTGGAGGATATCCAAAATCATCTATCACACGGGTGTCAAATTGGCAGCCCTCCAGCTGTTGCCAAACTACAAGTCCCATGAGGCATTGCAAGATTGACAGTTACAAGCATGACTCCCAAAAGCAGAAGCATGCTTGTAGTTTCACAACAGCTGGAGGGCCGCCAGTTTGACACCCCTGATCTAGCAGTTTCTTCCCCCACCTGACTGTTCCTGGCCCCGCCCCTTTCATTCATTGGATTTCAGTTCTTTCAATCATGGGAGGCTCATCATCACTACTACACCAGCAAGGGCGGTCATCATGCAAATGCAGCCTGCTTAGGAACGCCCACTCCTCCAAACTGACACCCACCCATTGGGACATCTTGATATTTGCACAACTCCTCCTACGAGCCAGCCTACTGCTTGCATATGGAACTGTGATGTATATGTATAGCAATAATCCTCCAATACAATATTCTCAGCAAAATCCATTGCAATAATTCTTTATTGGCTACATGGCAGGATACAGCTGTAACTTGTTAACGCATTTCGGCCAAAGCCTTATGCAGGCCATACACGGGTCGAATTCTGAATGATCGTAAAACGTCTTTCGCTCGGTAATACCACGGCGCCATCAATGATTTCGAAAATCAGCCAACTGAGTCATAAAGTTCACCCCATATAAGAGGCGAAACGTCTGTTCCTTCCAGGTCACGGCTCATGGGCATATTCTTTTCGGAAAAAAAACGATCGTACGATTTGATCATCATTGAGTCGAAAATCGGTAGTTTTCCCCAAATTTTCCAACACGCCCGATCACCGAAAAGGGGAGGAACCACGACAAATAGGCCGGTGTCATTGACCCACTATATAATGGAACCGGACCCGAATGCACTAGGGTGTTTCCGTTAGACTCCCCGCTTCCCTGTCCGAACACAGATCCACCGACACCACCCTTGAAAATCATTTAGGAAATAGACTCCTTTATTTTAACATAGACACAAGATATATACACAGGGCGGGGCAATACATTTAGTAACAAGAGACACACATCAGACACCTCCCACCAAGCCAATACACAAACACATACATCCCATAATAGTTTGCTCCCAAGCAAGACACACAATAGAACAATGGGACAACCACATGACATTAAACAATGAACAACCCCCACCTACACATGTCTACACAATAGCAGGACATTTCACCCTGCACCCCTAACAGGCACAGGGTGACTTACACATAAGAGGGATATGGGGAGCTGAGACAGGGGTCTCCCCAACTCTCTAAAGTGAGCTGGGTTCCATGGGCCCCCCACCCAAAGTGACTCCCGTCACACACTAACAGAGCAAAAATCGGCTTAACATTCTTAGGTCCGATTTTCGGACGAAACATTGGTCGAATTTCGACCCAGGTATGGCCGGCATTACTCATATCATCTGCCTGCACTGCATAGAGAAAACACAGAGACTTAGTGATGATGTCTGTGATGATTTTGCGCATAGAGGCATGGACGCTGTACATGACAGCCATCTTGTTAGGTCTCGGCCATGTTCCCTCCTCCCTTTTGAATGGAATGCATAGCTACAAGTTGAACTGAGGTCAACAGGATCTCTTATCCTAAGTAAAACACAAATAGATAATCTTTAGGGCTGTAAACCGCTAATTAGTCTGGTCCCAGGGGATCTTCTTTGAAAAACCACTTTCCTCTGCCCGATCGTAAAACAAGAACTCAGTTAGTCATGACCTGTTAGGCCATTAGAGCTAGAGCGTGCCATAAAATGTACATTCCACATTTTTCATACAAATTCATAAACTTCAGCAGGAACTGGGAACATTAATATGAAGTATACATTCGGATGGATCATTTTAATATGAGTCACACGAGACCTTACATGACTATATTAGTACCTACAAGAGAGTAGAAGCAGTCTCTTTTATCCTGGGTGACAAGTGTACGCTACGTTTGGTATCTTTGCGTTTGGAATATAATTCTAAATATTAATCTGCCAGTTGCTAGGATGCTACCTGTGCCTATTGAAGGTTATTGACCTTAGTATGAAATTGTAAGGGATTTGGTCATAACCTTGGTTACCGCCTAACACCCATCCCCAAACTGGATGATTGGTATTTGTTCTCAGGAGACACCCCTTTGACATGCTAGAAAAAACTGACAGCCTGGAGAAAAGAAAGCTCTCCTCAATCAGGAACCATCTAAGAGACTTGGGAGCCAAGGCAACCTTTTGTTTAGACAACTGAGCTCTGCTCAAACCAAGGACATTGCAAGTATTCTGCCTTCTGAACTCCTTTCTTTTATTTCTCTGTTGTTTTATTGCTCTCTTCATATCTTTGCTACATCTTTTTTTGTAAATATTTTAATTGCACCATTTTGACCTTTTTAGTAATGTTATGGTTTAGGTGTTCTGCTCTCCCCCTCCCTTGCTCTGCCCAAATGACCCCCCTCCACCTCTCATCCTGCTGCGGCTCTTTGAAGCCGAGCAACAGAGGTCGAGAGGTGTGACTCCTGTCACCCTCTCACTATCTTCCCCCCTTCCGCGGGATGTTCCTGGTGCCGCACGGCCCCGGCATCCGCAGCGCGGGCACGATGAGTTCCCGCGCTTGCAGATATCGCCGAACAAAGGCCGCACTCTCGAGAGCATGACCTGTGTCCAGGGGGGTGTGCCTTGTTGCTGAGCAACGAGGCACGCCGCCCACGGCCCGCCCACCGTTGCCAGGACGACCGGGAAGCGTCCTGCATTGGTTTAAGAGACCGATGCCGGGCTCCCCGATCATCCATTCCGCTGCCAAGCCACAGAGGGATCCCAGCTGAGGCGGGACCCTCGTGGTGACTCTGCACAGACCCCCCCCAAAGGATAAGGGGGAGCTTCCGCAAGCTGCCGCTCTGGAAGCCCCTAAGCTAAGGGGGAGACCCACGCCAGCTGCCCACCGCAAGCCACAGAGAAGGGGGAGACCTCCCTGGAAGAGTGCTCCTGTATGTAATAAGTGTTCCTTATGATATTCCTGTCCCTGGAAGAGTGTTCCTGTATATGCAATAATCCTCTGATGTCCCTGTCCTCTGATGTCCCTGGAAGAGTGTTCATGTATGTAATAATCCTCTGATATCCCTGTCCCTGGAAGAGTGCTCCTGTATGTAATAATCCTCTGATATCCCTGTCCCTGGAAGAGTGCTCCTGTATATATAATCCTCTGATATCCCTGTCCCTGGAAGAGTGCTCCTGTATATATAATCCTCTGAATATCCCTGTCTGCGGTGGCAGTGTGTATTACAGATGCCTAAATTAATATCATAGTGTTACTGCTAAGATTTGTGAGTTTCCTCCTTCTCTATGAAGTCGGTGCTGGCAGTGTGAAGGGTTAATTGCGTAATTAACCTGACCCAGCAACAATCGCTCTCAGGCTGCTGTCACATAGATTGTAGTCCCGCGAGCTGGAAAATCTTTGTGTAGGGCGCAGCTGAGAGTGGCTTTGTTACGCAAGTGACAGCGCTGTGCGAGATTGGCTGGTCCTTCGGTCACGAGTTGGTGAGAAGGACGGGGGTCGGACGCCGCGTTCCGTCACAATGTCATCCCCAGGTATGTAACGAAAATGGGCGCAGATCAGGCAAATAAAAGTCAGCTTTAAGACAATTTGCTGTTGGGTGGCTGAGTCAAAAAACAGTCAAATTGGAGTGTATTCTACCGAATCAGAAAGTTCCTGCGAGGCAAAAGAAATTAGTTACACTTTCCTGAATAAACTATTTATCGTACGGATCATCAGAAAACAGAGCAGCATCAATCTGCTTAAATCACGGGCAGCACAGTGGCTAAATGGTTAGCACTTCCGCCTGGCAGTACTCGGGTTGTCGGTTCAAATCCCAGCCACGGCACCAACTGCCTGGAGTTTGCATGTTCTCCCTGTGCCTATGTGGTTTCCTCCGGGTACTCCGGTTTCCTCTCACACTCCAAAGACATGCTGGTAGGTTAATTGGTTGCTGTCTAAATTGGCCCTAGTATGTGTATGAATGTGAGTTAGGGACCTTAGATTGTACGCTCCTCGGGGGCGAGAGACTGATGTGAATGTACAATATATATGTATATTTAAGTGCTGCGTAAATGGACGGCGCTATACAAGTACCTGAAATAAATAAATAAATCACACCGGTTTTTTTTTTTTATTATATGTCCGTAGCTGCCCGGAGTGTGAGACGACCATAAACAGGCCCGGCAGGGCTAATCCTTCATGAAAGAGTTTGCTCCCTTTTTCGTTTTCTCGAGAGCGCGTCATTAACTGAGCCGATGTTTTACCTCGAATAATCAGAGAGCGGGTAGACCTCTGCAGGAAAAAAAAAAAAAAACGAACACAAAAATCCTCTCGCTAACCTAGAATTAGACAAAATGAGTTGTTGTTTCAACAAATTGAGGAGCGCTGAAACACAGTTAATTATGACTCCGCTAAGTCTTTTGTAAGCAAAGCGCTGCAAATAATACTGTAATTACTATTAAATTACAGCTTTCAGGGCTTGCTGGCTGCCAGTGTGATGTGGTTATTAGGCTACTCTGCTGCATGGCGGTACGGGGTGTGCGCTCGCTCGGGTAATCACCGTAATCTCAGCAAAGGAGATCTCAAGGCTTTACAGAAACAGGGGCACCGTGATTCTGCATCAATGACCGCAAACTACCGCCGCAAACCGCACTGCTATTAACCCGCTGCTGCCCAGGTGTGCCAGGAAGAGGAGATTAAGGGGGGATATGATCTCCATGTATAATACATAAGGGGGGGGATATGATCTCCATGTATAATACATAAGGGGGGGATATGATCTCCATGTATAATACATAAGGGGGATATGATCACCATGTATAATACAT